CCCGCCCCCCGCGCGCCCCCCCACCCGGGGCAGGTCCTCGGGGAACGCTGCGCCCTCCTTCCTCCCCGCGGCGCTGTCAGGCTGACGATCCCGGTCCCACTCCTCCTTTCTTTGCCCCAGACGCTCCCTAAACTCTGCTCCCTCCCGGAAGAGAAAACTGGCTTTTATCCCAAAGCCTTTCCCATCCATCGCTGGGCCAGTGCTACGGGGTGCAGCCCACGTGCGTGCTCCTCGCACTCCGCTTCCATCACTTCTTCTTGCGAGGCTTCCTGTGCCAGGTGACTGCTTGTTGGGTAGAAGTAGGAGCGAACAGGTTGGAGCCGGGAGTGTGTTCTCGAGCCCTCTGCCGGGTCGGTGTTTAACCAGTGGATGGAGGGCGTGCAGCTGTGCGCGTGGAGACATCCGTCCGGAGCCCTTACCGCCAGCCCTGCGCTGAGAGGTTGAAAAGGACATCCTCAGTGCCTGGCTTTTAGCGCCTGCCAAGAAGTAGGTTTGGAGTTTCGTTTTTCAAATATTTGGTCCCGTTGTCAGACCACCTTTTTTTTTTTTTCTTCATTTCGAAAATATGTACTAGGATAGGATTACTAAGGGCTTCTGTTTCAAGTCTCTAATCATCTGAGACAGGCATGCCCCACTGGCCTGCGGATGCCTTGACAATGGAGGGATCTGTCAAATAGCCAGCAGTGCACTCATACTGAAAAGGGGATGGACAGGCAATGATTTTGTTCAGTCATTAGACAAGTAGCCAACACTCAGTCGTTATTAATTTAATAACAGCTTTTGATACAGGTATTAATAAAACATAACTTTTGCCCTAGCTGGTTTGGCTCAGTGGATAGAGTGTCAGCCTGCGGACTGAAGGGTCCCAGGTTTGATTCTAGTCAAGGGCACACCCCGGGGTTGTGGGCTCGATCCCTGGTGGGGGGGTGCAGGAGGTAGCCAATCAATGATCCTCTCTCATCATTGATGTTTCTATCTCTCTTCCCTCTCCCTTCCTCTCTGAAATCAATAAAACTATTTTTAAAAAACATACATCAATAAATGTTCACAAATATTTAAAAAAATAAAACATAACGTTTGCTCCCAAGTAGGAGAGAGAAATTACAACCCAGTTGAGCTTACTGTTGACTAAAGTCCTTTAAAGGCACCTCCATGGAGAGTCTTCACTAAAGAGTACCCCTCTTTTTCTCATTTCTCTTATTCGTCTTTATTTGTAGCTCTTATGCTTGCATTTAAAAAAATTTTATTCTGCCATATATCCTTAAGTATATGTAAGCTCCATAAGGATGGGAAATTTTCCCTTTATTCACAGCACCTGAAACAGTGCCAGACACATAAGAGATGCTCAATAAATATTGTGGAATGAACAAATGTAATGAACTTAACGATTTTTGCATATTAGAGTGTAGGGAGTGTGTGCTCTGTCCTGAAGAAAGTGCTCTTTATTGTGAGTGCTAGAGGGATTAGTCACAGTTTGCAGAGAAAGGAGAATAGAAGCATTTAAAAAGTGGAAGTTATGGAGGGTTTTGAAATATGGATACGATTAAGACTAATATGGCCCTTTTTGTAGATGTTCATTTTGCAGGAAATAATATTAAAGGACTGTCGATGGTGTATTAAAATTTTGAAAATGCTAAACTTTTATTTTTGTTGTGGGTGTAGAGGAAGCTTATTGGTGAATCTGATATCATAATGGAAACAGTGTTATTTATTTATTTATTTATTTATTATTTTTTAAATCCTCGAGGATATTTTCTCCATTGATTTTTAGAGAGTGGAAGAGAGAGGGAAAGACAGGGAGGAATATCTATGTGAGAGAAACACATTGATTGCTTGCCTCCTGCACGCACCCTGATCAGGGCCCTGGCCGGGGAGGAGCCTGCAACCAAGGTACGTGCCTTTGACCGGAATCGAACCCAGGACTCTTTGGTCTGCAGGCCGAAGCTCTATCCACTGAGCCATACCATCTAGGGCAGGGGTGGGCAAACTTTTTGACTCGAGGGCCACAATGGGTTCTTAAACTGGACCGGAGGGCCGGAACAAAAGCATGGATGAAGTGTTTGTGTGAACTAATATAAATTCAAAGTAAACATCATTACATAAAAGGGTACGGTCTTTTTTTTTTTTAGTTTTATTCATTTCAAACAGGCCGGATCCGGCCCGCGGGCCGTAGTTTGCCCACGGCTGAGCTAGGGCATAATGGAAACAATTTTAAAATACAGTTAAAATTATAATATTCTTAATCTCATTTGGCTCATTTGGAGTGTAAAGGAAACAGAACTCATTTTAGTATTCCCTCCAAAGAATTGTGTAGGACTTCAGTTCATGGGTTAGTATCAGTAAATTTCATCCTCTGCCCAGTCATAGAATCAAGCTTCCAATCTATAGAGATTTTACTTGACATATGAGATACTGTCATTTCTATCATGGACGATGTATTTGTATAGTATAATATTTCTTTAAAACTTAAAAAACAACAACATTAAAGTCATAAAGCCCGTCCCTTCACCCCCTCTCTTTTCTTTTAAGTCAGTCACATTTTCTAGCTTTGAATAGAATGCTTGAATATGTGTATTTGGATTTTTCTGAATTTTCCTTAGGGAAATTTTTAAATTTTCCTTAGGGAAATTACATTGGGGTAGTCAGGGTTGTTTTATCTTTCTGATTGAATTCTTCTCAGTCTCTTTCATGTTCACAGGATCTACCCCCCCCCCTCACCCCCCTCCACACTTTCTCATTTATTTTAATTTTATTTTTTAATATTTTTATTGATTTTAGACAGGAAGGGAGAGAGAGATAGAAACATCAATGATGAGAGAGAATCATTAATCGGCTGCCTCCTACATGTCCCCTACTGGGGACCAAGCCCATAACCCAGACATGTGCCCTTGACTGGAATCGACCTGGGACCCTTGAGTCCAAAGGCCTATGCTCTATCCACTGAGCCAAGCCGGCTAGGGCCGCACTTTCTCATTTAAAAGCTATATTGCGCCCTAGCTGGTTCCCTCAGTGGTTAGAGCATTCACCTGCAGACTGAAGGGTTATGGGTTCCATGCCTAGTCAAGGGCAGGTTCCCCAGCCCCAGTAGGGGCACATGTGGGAGGCAGCCAATCCATGTTTCTCTCTCTCGCGTCAATGTTTCTATCTCTCTCTTCTCTTCCCTCCCTTCCATTCTCTGTAGAAACCAATGGAAGAAATCAGGTGAGGATTTAAAAAGAAAAAAGTTATATTGCATTTCAATCTTTCCTTTTATATAGTTCCTGCTTATATAAACAATACTAATTTGAGTTCTACCTCTCCTAGTTTAGCAGTTTGCACAGCTGTTCTAGTATGTTCTCAGCTTCTAGGCCCACATACAGAACTTAGCAAAATGTATATTAAGTGATTTATAATCATTGGTGCTACATATACTTTAATAAGTAATGTCTGATAGGGCCATCAGCTATAACAAATGTAAAGTGTAATTTCATTTGAAAACAAAAGTGAGGCCCAGCCGGCGTGGCTCAGTGGTTGAGTGTTGACCTATGAACCAGGAGGTCACGGTTCGATTCCTGGTCAGGGCACATGCCTGGGTGCAGGCTTAATCTCCAGTGTGGAGTGTGCAGGAGGCAGCTGATCAACGATACTCTCTCATCATTGATGTTTCTCTCTCTCTTTCCCTCTCTCCTTCCTCTCTGAAATCAATAAAAATATACTAGTATATATTTTAAAGTGAGATTAATGAACTTGTCTTTGCAATTTATATATGTAAAAGCATAATATGCAAATAGACTGGACAGCAGAACCACCGGTCAGCTATGATGCGCACTGAACACCAGGGGGCAGACGCTCAATGCAGGAGTTGCCCCCAGCCCACAACCTCTCGGCCCCTCCCCCTGGCCAGCAGGCTCCAATCGCCCGATGGGGAACCAGGAACTGGGGGTGGGTGGCAGCTGATGTGGGCAGTGCCAGGGCCCCGATAGCCCTGCCAGTCGCCCCACACACAGAGGGCTATCGTGGCAGTGGCAGGGGGCCAGACCAGCTGCCGGCAGCTGGGGAATATCGGCCCTGATCACAGTTTCAGGCCTAGGAACCCTACCTGTGCACGAATTTTGTGCGCCGGGCCTCTAGTTAAACATAACAAGAAGAAGATCAGGCAAGGGTCCACAAGGATCAAGAAAGACTTCCAAAAAATACTGAAGGTGTATGTATTTGTGCTATTGGCAGTGTTCTGAGGGTTTCTTAAAATTAAGTGGTATTTGAAGGAGAAAACCATGTTTAATCATTAGCCTAGAGAACGAAAGAAGCATAAGCTTTGTTTTTTTTTTTCTCCCGACTCAGCGATAACAACTCTGTGTAAACCATCCATAATAAATATTAATGACCAACAGTTAAATAGAACAGTTATTACAGGCCTTTGACCAAGTCATCATTTTCAGCTTTACAGAGAAATAAACTGAAGCTGAGAGAGATTAAGTGATCAGCTTATTAAATGGCAAAACCTAGATCAGGCTCCCCATTATACCCCACAAACTGCCATTCGCCAAATAAGAGTTGAAACCAGTGGTTGATAGTTCAGATCCATGGTCTGCTAATATTCTCATTCCAGGGACGTTGGGCATAACAATGTTGTCCTAAACCTTCTAGAATTTTATTCACAAAATCACTGATACAGGTGTAGGGGAGAGTGAGGAGTTGGGATGATGCCCATATTCTGACACAGGTGACTGGTAGTTGGTGGTAACATTCCCTGAGGTAAGAGGTGCAATTTAACAGAAGTGTGTTTGTGATGGGAAATGATGAGATCAATTTAGGGCATGTTGAGTTTGAGCATTTGATTCTACCTCTTACTAGCTCTGTAAACTTCATCTCTGGGCCTCAGTTTTTTAGTGCTAAGCTGGGAATGGTAATGACCCTTCTGTGATAGGGTTAAAGCGAGGCTTGAACAAACTCACCACATACACTTTATCATTGTTTAGCTGTCTTATGATTGCCTTGGACCCTGGGTAGGAGTTGGAGATGGAGGGGTCTTGACTGGAATACTTAGGCGTGAGAAGGGAGCAAGACGGGAGAAGCCCAAACTTAAGGGGCAAGCATCTCCAGAGGCAGGAAAGAAGGAAGAAGTAGGAGAGTTTTGAAGCAAGAAAGCAGTGATCTGTGTTGTGTTGGGAAAGGGTGTCAGATAGGGCCAGGCTTGAATGACTGTGATTTGGGCAAGGAAGCCAGTGCCGGTGGGGCATTTATTTCATTCAGTGCCCTGTCTTGTCCCTAGTGGGAATAATGTCTGGTACAGGGGTGCGTGGTGAGTGTTTGTTGAAGGGATAAAGTGCAGTGCTGAGGAGTGAATGCTAAAGTAAGTATGGGCTTTCCTTAAGAGGGTTCCCCTATTAAGGGGAATGGATATAATAAGTTGTCTTGTCACGGGAAAGGGACTGAGATCAAGGCAGGTCTGCCCCCTAAGGTCTGTAATGTGTGGGTTATTGACTTTGTGCAGGAAAGATTTTGTGGCATGAGTCCAGGTGATTTTGAGAGTACATTTATTAAAACTGGGACAGTGAAACAAGGGAAGGACATAAGAGAGAAGAGGCAAGATCTCAGCAACAGGAGTGAGCCCAGGCAGAGCTGCCTTGGCCCTTTATTTATTTATTTTTATTTTATTATTTTTTAAATATATTTTTATTGATTTCAGAGAGGAAGGAGGAGATAGAAACATCAATGATGAGAGAGAATCATTGATCAGCTGCCTCCTGCACGCCCCCTACTGGGGATCAAGCCTGCAACTTGGGCATGGGCCCTGACCAGAATTGAACCTGGGACCCTTCAGTCTGCAGGCCAATTGCAGGCCGGTGCTCTATCCACTGAACCAAACCAGTTAGGGCTGCCTTGGCCCTTTAGGAAAAAAAGTCACCAAGACAGAATTGAGCCAGCTGGGTTGGTGAACTCAGGAAACAAATTACAGAGGCAGAAGAAGGGCCCTTGGAGACAGTTGCTGCTGCCCAATGCTCCCCTGCTTGCAAGTCTCCTGGGAACCTTTAGAACTTAGAAGGAAAACAAAGATACACCCCTGAGGAAAGAAGGGGGGGGGGGGGGGGGAGGCAAGGGCATGCTCCAGAGCATACACTGGGTACTTTGTCTTACGGGTTTTTATCTATTTTCTGATGGCAGGGAATTTTAGGGGAAGTGTCAGGAGAATCTCAATAGAATATTCATCAGATTTCAAAATGTGTCCTTTGATATGGTGATTCATCCAAATGAACTTATAGATGGGTCAGGATCATTCTCTGGTTAGTTTCATCTTCAAAGAATGTCATAGAAGAGGGACCAGACAGGCCGGTCTACTACCTGCGTGGTCTGGAATGTGTAAACCATTTGCTCCTAAGTGTCCTTGGTTAGGGAAGATGAGACTTTGCGATTTATTATCTGGCTGTAAATTGCTCAGCTGGTTCAATATCTGTCTCCCCATTCTACTTGTCAAGGAATTCTCCTAGCTTTTTACTGTCTTGCCTCATTGTGAGTATGCTGGAGGGAGGTGTGTCTGCCAGAAGACCTTGCTGACTAGGGAGGGCCAGGCAGTGTGGAGGGCTGTCATAAGAGTAATTATCCTTACTGGCCAGGTTTTCTCCAGCAGCAGCCAGGAGCATAGGTACAGACAGTCAGATTGGTACTTGGTTGAGGTTTAGCAAGGATCATGGGGCAGAAGGACTCGTGAACAAGAATATTGAGTAGTGGCTAAGCGTTATTGAGGTTTGGGGCTCTTGAACAAGTAAAGGTGGAAGAGGTGGTGTCTTGGGACTGGATATCTCAATACATTTGGAGAACAGGTCATGGGAGAAAGGGAGCAACGGAACTGAACAGATTGGTGGTTTGATCAGAGTAGAAAAGCTTGTATATCATTTTAGACTTTGCACTTTTATCTTTTATTATAAAAAGAATTAAACAAAATGTAGAGAGAATGATGATGTGATGACCTCCCTGTGCTCCCATCACTCAGTTTCAGCATTTATCAACTCAACCAGTCGTGTTTCAAATCCACACCCACTCTGCTTCCGTTCACCACAGGTAAATTATTATTTTAAAAAATATATATTTTATTGATTTCGGAGAGTAAAGGAAAGGGAGAGAAAAACAGAAACATCAACAATGAGAGAGAATCATTGATTGGCTGCTTCCTGCATGCCCCACACTGGGGATCGAGCCCACAAACTGGGGATGTGCCCTGACCAGGAATCGACCCATGACCTCCTGGTTCATAGGTTGACAGTCAACCACTGAGTCATGCTGGCCGGGGCTGATAAATTATTTTGAAGCAAATTCCAGACCAGGGGTCCTCAAACTACGGCCCGCAGGCCACATGCGGCCCGCCAAAACCATTTATCCGGCCCGCCGGGTGTTTTGCCGCCGCGTCGTAGTTTTTTTTTAAACTATAGTCCGGCCCTCCAACGGTCTGAGGGACAGTGAACTGGCCCCCTGTTTAAAAAGTTTGAGGACCCCTGTTCCAGACCATATGTTTTCAACTATCAATAGCTCAGTTTCTATCTCTAAAATATAAGGATTCTGTTTTTAAATGTAACCACAATAACATTATTTCACTTAAAAAGTTGACAGTACTACTAATATCATCAAATACCCCTAGTGTTTCAATGTCCCAGATTCTCATAAATGCTTTTAATTTTATTTTGCCAGGCTGGTGTGGCTCAGTGGTTGAGCATTGACCCATGAACCAAGAGGTCACCAGTTCCATTCTCGGCCAGAGCTCATGCCGGGGTTTTGGGCTCGATCCCCAGCGAGGGGCATGCAGGAGGCAGTGATGTTGATTCTCTCCCACCAATGTTTCTATCTCTCCCTCTCCCTTCCTCTCTCTCTTAAATCAATAAAAACATTTTTTTAATTTATTTTTTTTATCCTCACCCAAGAATATTTTTCCATTGATTTTTAGAGAGAGGGCAAGACAGAGAGAAATATCGTTGTGAGAGAAACACATTGATTGGTTGCCTCCTGCATGCACCCCAACCAGGGCCCTGGATCAAGCCTGCAACCGAGGTACATGCCTTTGACCGAATCGAACCCGGGATCCTTCAGTCCACAGGCCAGTGCTCTATCCACTGAGCCAAACCAGCGAGGGCTTAATTTTATTTTTTAATTGATTTTTTAGAGAGAGAGACACACACACTCACATAACAATTTGTTGTCCCACTTACTTTATGCATTCACTGGTTGCTTCTTGTGTGTGCCCTGACCAGAGATTGAACCCGCAACTTTGGTATATCGGGACAGCGCTCTAACCAACTGAACTACTCAGCCAGGGCCTCATAAATGTTTTTTAAAATAGTTGGTTTGCTTAAATCAGGATCCGAAGAAGGATCCACCCATTGCATTTCTTTGTAGGTTTATCTGTAGATTCCCCTTCCTCTTTTTTTCCTTTCCTATTAGTTGAAGGCGCTAGTAGTTAGACATAGTTTCAATCAGTAAATATACTTCCTTAATTATAGCATGTAATTTCAGGGGTACACAATGTCTGGTTGTCTCTCTTTGTGATGTTAGTGGACATTGATGGTTATTGCCCGGGTCCACTATTTCATTAAGGATTTGCTATTTATTGTGCCTTTGATCTTTATAGGTAGGGAACTATTTGGGCACCTATTTTAAGAATTCTGCAAAATATCTATTGATGCTTGTTACATCCTGCTGGATATTCTGGCATGTACAAAAGAAATAATAGACTTAAAGAATTTGCAGCCCTTTTTTTGTTATTGTTGTTGTTAATCCTCACCCAAGGATATTCTTTCCATTGATTTTTTTTAGAGAGAGTGGAAGGAAGAAGGAGAGACAGAGAGAGAGAAACATCGATTGGTTGCTTTCCGCACATGCCCCTACGGCCCCTACTGGCATGGAACCCACGACCCTTCAGTCTGCAGGTGGATGCTCTAACCACTGGGGCTAAGGTATACAGATTTTTCTTTTTCTTTTTTTTTTTAAATATATTTTATTGATTTTTTACAGAGAGGAAGGGAGAGGGATAGAGAGTTAGAAACATTGATGAGCGAGAAACATCAATCAGCTGTCTCCTGCACGCCCCCTACTGGGGATGTGCCCGCAGCCAAGTTACATGCCCTTGACCAGAATCAAACTTGGGACCCTTGAGTCCGCAGGCCGATGCTCTATCCACTGAGCCAAACCGGTTAGGGCAGGTGTACAGATTTTTAAAGCTTTTGATGCACACTGTCAAATTTTTGCAAAAATGTTCTGTCATTTTTCTATGCCACCAAAGGTATACACCAACATTGGGAAGAATTATTATTTTTTTAAACACCACTTCTCTCTTCTTTTTTTTTTTAAATTGATTTTTAGAAAAAGGGGAAGGGAGAAAGACAGAGAGAGAGAAACATCCATGTGAGAGCAAAACATCGATCGGGTGCCTCCTGCACACCCCCTACTGGGGTTGGGGGATTGAGCCCACAACCCTGGCAATGATGTGCCCTGACTGGGAATCGGGAATTGAACCGACAATCTCTTGGTGCACTAGATAATGCCCAACCAACTGAGCCACACGGGCCAGGGCAGGAAGAATTCTTTTAATTAATGGTTTTTAGGACTAGGAACAAAATTAACTGTGCTTCTGTTTGCTGAAACTCACTTAATTAAAGAAGTGATTATTACTTATCTACTCTGTCTTCCTAAAAGGTTTTCTTGGAGCCTTAAAAATGGAGATGACAGAAATGACTGGTGTGTCACTGAAACGGGGATCCCTTGCTGTGGAAGATAATGACAGTCTGACCCCAGCTGAGGAGGCAAAAAGACAGAAGGTCTCAGAAGGCTGGCTGACCAAAGGTCAGGATGGGATAGACAATAACTCTCCACCCAGCTGTGAGAATGTGCCTGGGCTACCTGAAGTTGTAAGTGCTGGAAAGAGGAAGAAACATTCGGATGCCCCGTTGCCAGAAGAGGAAGAGGAGGAGGAAGATGGCCTTTCAGAGGAGGGTGAGGAGGAAGGGGAAGCTGAGAGCTTTGCAGACATGATGAAGCATGGACTCACTGAACTGGATGTAGGCATCACCAAGTTTGTAAGTTCTCATCAAGGATTCTCAGGAATCTTAAAAGAAAGGTATGTTTCATTTATGTACAAAGTTATTTTAATTATGTTCTTTATAAAGAAACTAGAGGCCTGGTGCATGGATTCGTTCACCGGTGGGGTCCCTCGGCCTGGCCTGAGGGGATCGGGCTGAAACCGGCTCTCTGACATCCCCTGAGGGGTTCTGGATTGTGAGAGGGCAGTTGGTTCCAGGTGCGTCACTCGAGAACCGCAGCTGCCAAGTCACTGCAGCTCAGCAGCTCTGTGTTGAGCGTCTGCCCCCTGGTGGTCAGTGCGCATCATAGCTGTCGGCCGGTCTGCCAGTTGGCCAGTCACTTAGGCTTTTATATATGTAGATCAGCAGTATAGTCTTCTATTTATTTCTGTTCCCCAAGGATTAATTTCACAGATGGTCAAAAAGGATGAGACCTGTCCAAATGAGTAAATGAAACCATTTAAAGAAAATATAGTGAAACCATACAGTTTTTGTTCTTTTTCCGTCTGACTTATTTCACTTAGCATAATGCCCTCAAGATGTATCCATGTTGTTGCAAATGGCAATATTTCATCTTTTCCTGTGTATATATAGGGTGACCAAAAAAAATGTATACACACTTTAACAGCTGATAACTCACTTAGTTTTTAAAATGAACTGTATGTTAATAAACACTGACTTTATACTTGTTGAATGTGTATATACTAGCTCAGTGGTCGGCAAACTCATTAGTCAACAGAGCCAAATATCAACAGTACAACAACTGAAATTTCTTTTGAGAGCCAAATTTTTAAAACTTAAACTATATAGGTAGGTACATTGTTATTAACTTAATTAGGGTACTCCTAAGGCTTAGGAAGAGCCACACTCAAGGGGCCAAAGAGCCGCATGTGGCTCGCACGCCACAGTTTGCCGACCACGGTACTAGCTGATCATTCACTTAATTTTGAAGTATATGTTAACAAACACTGATTTTATAACCATTCAAAGTGTGTATACATTTTTTTAGACACCCTGTATATACCACATTTTCTTTTTGTGCACTCATTCGTTGATGAACACTTAGGTTGTTTCCATGTCTTGAGAACTATAAATAATACTGCAATGAACATGGGGCACATATATCTCTTTGAATTAGTGTTTTCTTATTCTTCAGATAAATAGCCAGAAGAGGAATTGCTGGATCATATAGTAGTTGTATTCTTAATTTTTTGAGGAACCTGCATACTGCTTTCCATAGAGGTTGTACCAATTTACAGTTCCAATAACAGTGCACAAGTGTTGCTATTTGTCCACATCCTCTCCAGCACATGTTATTTCTTGTGTTTTTTATAATGGCCATTCTAACACATGTGAAGTGATACCTCATTATGGCTTTTATTTGCATTTCCCTAATAATTAGTGAAGTTGAACATCTTTTCATATACCTGATGGCCATCTGTATGTCTTCCTTGGAAAAATGTCTATTCAGACCCTCTGCCCATTTATTAATTGGGTTGTTTTTTGTTGTTGTTGTTGTTGAGTTGTATGAGTTCTTTTTATATTTTGGACATTAACCCCTTATTGAAAATATTATTTGCAAATATCAGCTCCCATTTGGTTGGTTGCCTTTTTTGTTTTGTTGATAGTTTCTTTTGCTGTGCAGAGCTTTTGAGTTTGCTGTCCCATTTGTTTATTTGTGTTTTCATTCTCATGCCTTTGTGTGTGTGTGTGTGTATATATATATATATATATATATATATGATTTCATAGAGGGAGGGAGAGAGAGATAGAAACATCAATGATGAGAGAGAATCATTGATCGGCTGCCTCCTGCACGACCCACACTGGGGATCAAGCCTACAACCTGGGCATGTGCCCTGACTGGTTATCTAACTGTGACCTCCTGGTTCATAGGTCAACACTCAACCATTGAACCACGCCGGCTGGGCTCTTATGCCTTTGGAGTCAAATTCACAAAAACACCATTGAGACCAATGTCCAGAAGCTTAATGCTTATGTTTACTTATATATATTTTATTTGTTTAGGTCTTACATTCCAGTCTTTAATCCATTTTGAGTTCATGTTTTCATATGGTATAAGATAGTGGTCTAGTTTTATTCCCTTGCATATGGCTGTCCAGTTTTTATTTATTTAAATGTATTTTTTTATTGATTTCAGAGAGGGAGAGGGAGATAGAAACATCAATGATGAGAGCGAATCATTGATCGGCTGCTTCCTGCACGTACCAATACTGGGGATCAAGCCCACAACCCAGGCATGTGCCCTTGACCGGAATCGAACCTGGGAGTCCACAGGCTGATGCTCTATCCATTGAGCCAAACCAGCTAGGGCACCCAGAACCATTTATTGAAGAGACTTTTCTTTCTCCATTGTATATTCTTGGCTCCTTTGTCATAAATTAGTTGTCTACAAAGTATGGGTTTATTTCTGGGCTCTCGATTCTGTTCCATTGATCTGTGTTTATGCCGATATTGTACTGTGTGTTTTTTAAGGGTTTTGTTTTATTTATTTACTTTTTTTTTTTTTAGAGACAGGAAGGGAGAGAGAGAAATAGAAACATTGATGAGAAGCATCCATCAGCTGCCTCCTGTATGCCCCCTACTGGAGATTGGGCCTGCAACCCAGGCATGAGCCCTGACCAGGAATCAAACCTCAACCTCCTGGTGCATGGGACTATGCTCAACCAACTGAACACTAGCTGGGCAATACTGTACTGTTTTGATTACTGTAGCTTTATAGAATAGTTTGAAATCAGAGAATGTGATACCTCTGGCTTTGTTCTTTTCTCTCAGGATTACTTGACTATTTAGGATTTTTTTGATGGTTTCTTCCAAATTTTAGGATTTTTTTGCTCTATTTCTGTGAAAAATGCCTTCGTACTTTTGTTGGGGATTGCATTGAATCTGTAGATTGCTTTAAGCAATATGGACATTTTAACAATGTTAATTCCTTCAATCAGTAAACATGGGCTATCTTTCCATGTCTTTGTGTCTTCAGTTTCTTTTAACAATGTCTTGTAGTTTTCAGTGTACAGGTCTTTCACCTCCTATGTTAAGCTTATTTCTAGGTATTTTATTTTTTTCTGATAGTTTATTGTTAGCATATAGAAACAACAGATTTTTCTATATTGAGTTTGTAAGGCTTACTGTTGATAAACTTTTTCCTAAAATTAACAGGAAGCAAAATGTTAATGCTCTGAAAGTTTGTGTTTTCTTTTCGTCAGATACTCTGACTTCGTTGTTCACGAAATAGGAAAAGATGGTCGCATCAGCCATTTGAATGACTTGTCCATCCCAGTGGATGAGGAGGTAGGAGCCAGCTCTCTAGCAAAAGTCACCTTCTGTATAAAAATAGCATTTTTTAGAGATCAAAGAAATATAGAGCTCTAACAGCCTTGAATTCTGTGTGTGACTCATTGGGAGTTTTTGTGGTTATTTAAAAGGATCCTTCAGAAGATGTATTTACAGTTTTGACAGCTGAAGAAAAGCAGCGTTTAGAAGAGCTTCAGCTTTTTAAAAATAAGGAAACCAGTGTTGCCATTGAGGTAAGTATTACAGAAACATATGAAAAGGTTGTATAGGGTTTTCATTGCTTTTTGGGGGGTAGATGTTAAGTGTCTATTGGAAAAATTATAGTAGTTAACAAAAGGATGATGTCCTATTTGATCTAAAAGGGCATTATGTACACTAAAAAAATGTTTTTGTCAGTAACAGATACCACTATCCAACATAAACCATGGCCAAAAAGGTGTTTTTTTAAAAAAATGTTTCAGATGACCATAAATCAACAAAGAAATCTGTTTTGTACCTGATAGTGACTATTATATCATACTGACCAGCCTGGCAGTCAGAGGTGTGGCCTGGCCCTCCCTCCAGTGCCAGCAGCCTCTTGGTCTCAGATAGGGTTCTGGGAGGGAAAGGATTTGGGGGGAGGAAGTAAGGGAGCATTTCTCTGCTCAGCCTAAGTCTACTTCTAGAAAAGGAGAGCTCAGCCACTACATAGAACAGTAAATCCTTCTTTAAAAGAAGCTTTTGTTATGGACATTTTATTCTGCTCTGTTAGTGCTATCCAGGGGAATTAAATTACTGAGATGTTTTACAGTGTTTTTCCTACTAAGTCCTTAACATCCTTTGTTAAATTGATAGCACGTCTAAGTTTAGACTAGCCACATTTCAGATGCTCAGTTGTCACTTGTGGCTAACGCAGCCGTGGGCAAACTACGGCCCGCGGACCGGATCCGGCCCGTTTGAAATGAATAAAACTAAAAAAAAAAAAGACCATACCCTTTTATGTAATGATGTTTACTTTGAATTTATATTAGTTCACACAAACACTCCATCCATGCTTTTGTTCCGGCCCTCCGGTCCAGTTTAAGAACCCATTGTGGCCCTCGAGTCAAAAAGTTTGCCCACCCCTGGGTTAGCAGCTACTGTATGGGACAGAGCAGCTCTAGGTGATCGTTTTGCAGGGTGATGTGTTACAAAATTTTACGTGTTGTAGCATGAGATTTTTAGAATTTTATGTTCAATTCATTTTGTAGCATATTTTAACAACCTGTTGGATCTGGGGGTATTTGAGAATCCCCCTTCCATCACCCCTAATTAGTAAGAATTTACAATTTTTCAGAAATCACTGTCTGTCTCCAACCATCATCTACTTCTGTTCCAACCAATAAAACTTCCCCAAAATGTGTGATCTTTAGACATCTTCAGTTACTGAATTTCCTTATAGACAAAATGTCAGGGAGAAAATCTCTAAGAATTGGTTCTGAGAATCCTCTAGGAGGATGGTCCAGGTTTCCCTTACTTATGTAATGCAGTGGAGTATCTTAGCCTCATGATATACCTACCTAGGTGGCAAGACTTAGCATCTTACAAACTGTAGTTATGCTGAAATTTTTTTATTATGTAGTTATCTACTGAAATTTTTTACTTTTAGATAGCATAAACCATGGGCAGGTGTCTTTGTCTGTAAACCAAGGAAAGCAGACTTTCTGAATTTTTGAGATCTAAGTATGTTTTCACTCATACACACAAATCATGATTCCAACTTACTGCTTTCAGTAAGTTCTAGATCTAGACTCACTTTTCTGTATGCACATGTCACTTGTCTGTAATTATAATGTAGTTTTTCTTTTACATTTTGCTAAAACATTAAGTTTAGCTAGCAGTAGTAGCTCAGTGTTTTTTAGCTTGGCAGGTTGCAGTCCACTAGTGGGTCATAAACCCCATTCAGTGGATCTTAACTTTTTTTAATGCAATAAAATAAAGTAGAAAGTTATAGTGTATTGTACATAGTAAGGGTAAGTATTGTTTCTTAAAATTTTTTAAGTTGTTAATAAGATATGTACACATACATTCTTCCGACTGTTGAATGTGAAATGTATTTCTTAATGTGAGACCCATTCAAAAATTGTAAAACCGTTATGTAACTAACAAGTTTACATTTTCTTGATGTTGATTTTTTTTTTTATTGTGAACAGATGTACTAGCACATCATTATAAAATGAGTCGGTATAGAATTCATTGTGAGGCAGTTGTAGATCGGACTGTTTGAGGGAAGGAGTTTCTGACATCCCTGCGTTTCTGTCTGTGAGCCCTGAAGTGCTTGTCCGGCAGAGTCCCTGAGGGAACGTCTGCAAAGTGCTTGGCACAGTGCCTGGTATATGGTCATGCTCCGTTAACAGGCTCATTGCGCTTGCATATTGTGAGGCTCTTAAAGATTCCTGAAATCACACCCATGTACTTTTGTTGTTTCACATAGTTAATAAGATAAATAGTGTTTTTACTCATTCATCAGTATGATTTCTCTAAGGTTTGTTAAATTTGTAATATCATTATGTTTTTAATAGGTTGTTGAGGACACCAAAGAGAAAAGAACTGTCATCCATCAAGCAATTAAGTCTCTGTTTCCAGGATTAGAGACAAAAACAGAGGATAGAGAGGGGAAGAAATATATTGTAGCCTACCATGCAGCTGGGAAGAAGGCTCTGGCAAGTAAGTGTGTGAGTGACCTGGCATTTCTCCTGCCTGGCGAGCCCCAGAGGCAGATCCGCGCCTCCTCTACTTTGCTGTTGTTCAAAGGAGGATATTGATCATGTCACTTCTTCAAAGAGGGTGGGTAATATTATTTCAGATGCTGGAGCAATCCTATAAAATATCTGTCTGATAGGGGGCGTTAGGTCGTTTATGTGAGAAAAGATTTGCTGAAATTACAGTGGTGCCTGAGAGAGTGTCTTAGGAATGATATGTCCCCTGAAGAGCAGAGTGGTCTGAGTGGCAATTCAAGAAGAAAATGAAAGGCTATTGCTCATTCTGTGTTCTTAATGGAGAGAAGAAAGCTTTCAGATGGACAGAAAATGCTTGTCACCTATCCTAGTAGTATATTTTGGCAAAGTTCTTATATTGAAAGAGCTGCTGGCTTTCCAACTATATCTTCTTCACTCACATAGTAAAACCACAAAATAAAAAAAAAAAAGAAAGAAAAAACCACTGGATATAAAGAAAAGCACCCCTTTGCCTAAACGCATCTTTATTGTGTATCATTCATTTGAAATGGGTGTGTTTTCAGTGAATCTCTGATATTTATGTTCTGACTAGAGGCCCGGTGCACGACATTTGTGCACTGGGATGGGGTTGTCCCTCAGCCCGGCCTGCACCCTCTCGCAGTCTGGGAGCCCTTGGGGGATGTCAGACTGAAGGCTTAGGCCCTCTCCCTGCACATCCCCCGAGGAGTCCTTAGCGCTGCCGCAGAGGTGGGAGAGACTCCCGCCACTGCCGCTGGCGTGAACCCGGCACAGGGCTTCTGGCTGAGGTGTGCTCCCCCTGTGGGAGCGCACTGACCACCAAGGGGCAGCTCCCGCATTGAGCATCTGCCCCCTGGTGGTCAGTGCACATCATAGCAACCAGTTGTTATGCCGTTCGGTCTCTTTGCATATTGGCCTTTTATTATATAGGATGTGTTTTCTACAGCCATGAAAATTTCTAGTTGTATATAATCTTAAGAAATAGTAGATAGTTTTTCCTTGTCAAATCAGCAGTTAAAATTTTAATGAAAATTACAGTAAGAAAAAGTTATTTCCTCACTCTCCTCCTCTATTAGTAATGGCCCCTATTAGTTACTTCTAGATATTTCTAGTTACTTCATTGCAAATCTACATATTTGTTAGAGCAAAACCCCAAGACCAAATTAAAAAAAAAAAAAAGACTGTTCAAAGCATTAATGCTTGGTCATATTTCCTTAGGTTAATGCTGTGAATGTATGAAACCTTTATTGTTTTTAACTATGGTTCTAGTGAAATGAGAGGATATAAGACAAATGGGCAGAAATTAGGTTTAGCTATGCCTGAGAAAATAATATAGTGAAATCAGTAAGTATGGATGGTAACAGACATGAGAAACCTCGAGCAGTTGGGGAGAAGAAAAAGGAGATTGGAGGCCACTTCTCAGTGGATGCCAAAAAGAAAAGTGAGATGAAATGTTCCGAAGCTACTTGTGGTTACGTGTTGTTAATTACTTCCAATTCCACAAACTAATGGTGTGGTTACTGTATGTTACTTTGATGTCTGAGTCAGTAGTATAAAATATTACCCAATAGTCTTTCTTCAGCCAGAATTGTTCAAGAGAGTTCAGCCCAGTGGAATATGGTGTGAGTGACTATTTTTTCCCATCCTCCCAAGATTAGCATGTAGCTGGTAACTATTCTAGATGGAGAGAAGAGAAGGTGACTTGCTTCATACAGTCAAATGCCTTGGAACCCAGGTTGAGAAGGGCTACCAGGGAGATGTTCCTGACAGAGAGGCAGTCCATGTTGGTCAGCCACCCTCTTGCAAAGGCAAGAAGAAAAGTCAGGATCTTGTTCTGCCGAGTGTGGTCATGAGAAAGCAAATTAGAAAAGGTAAAACCTCTTGATATTGATGCTTGTGATCTTCAAGGAGGGGAGTTAGGGCATTTAAGGCCAAAGTGGCCATTTTAGTTTTCTCACCCTTCCGTCTCAAGTGAGTGGTACCAGGTCTCTCAGGTTCTCTCTTTATCTATCTACATTTTCTGTGCTTCATGCCACACCCACCATTCTTTCTTTTTTTTTTTTTCCCCAAAGAAATTCCCTTAAGAATTTCCAAGTGAGATGCTGAGCTCTGTGTGACGTACACCACTCCTCCCCATCTCCCTTTGCACATCTTCAGTAAAACAATGGGTTTTTCACTTTAAAAAGAAGCACGAAGGCAGGTTAGATTGGATCACTGCTTGCACCTCCCAGGCTTGAGGTGTTGTGGCATTTGGTGAAGGTGGATGAGAAGTCTCCCTGAGCGCTCCTCTCCTGTCTCCTCATGGACCCAGACAGGCACTTGAGAGCCTGCATTCATCTCTTACAGGTCTAGATCCCCACCTGAGAGCAAGAGTGGCTTAAAGTAATCACCATTGGAAAGGCAGGGAGAGCTGGTATCCAGAGACTTGTTCACGCCCCTGCAAATAGAACCTGATACCAATGACAACTCCTCCTGGGTCACCTTGCCTAGCATTTGAATTAATTAGCTTTTAAATCTTCATTGCAAATCTACATTTATCATGTTTTTAGAGTCCATTTACTGCCAGACCCTGATACAAATTCTTACTGTTTTCTCAAATAGAGCATGCATCCTAAAAGCATAGGCATGGTGGATTCTGAATCATGGTGCCCAAACGTCACAAATTACCCACTACTTCAAGTTAGACGTCCAGTCTGATAGACAAGGCACATTGGATTTATCTACCAGAGCCTACATAGAGTATTTTTCTGAAAATATGTAATTATTAATAAACCATCTAACCGGGTAAATTGATTTATGTGTTGGGATAGATCATGTACATTACAAATACCTCTAAGAACTTCTTTTTAAAGACTTAAATGAAGAAAACAAAACAAAATTCTGCCAGGTGGTGCATAGAGGTTCTCCATCCCTGGTGGATACCTGAGCTAGGAGTCCACAGAGACTCTGGAGGGAGAGCCAGATGGGTGAAAAGGGAACTCTGTGGGAGAGACTCATGTGATGGCACCCCCAGGAAGAGGGCATTCCCGTCACCAGAGTGGTTAGCAGTGGGAACAGTGCAGATAGGCCCAGCAGAACAGAACTCTGAAACATGTCCGCCCGGTTTTAGCACCATGGAAACCATTGGTGCCTGCCAGAGCAGTGTCAGTGGAATGAGGGTGGACACCAGTTTACACAGTAGGTTGAGGAGGAAGGCAGTAAATACAGGCTGCTTTTTCAAATAAGCGCTCAAGAGGAGGAGAAAGGAAAGGCATGTGGTTAAGGAGAGGGAGACATAGGGCGGACTTTTAAAGGGGAAGAGCCCTGACCATGTTGATAGACGGAAGGAAGAGCCAGTGCCGAGGGAGGGTGAAAATTCCTGCCGGAGAGTGATGATGGAGCAGGATCCCTGAGGAAGCTGAAAGGTTGGCGTGCAGGGGTGCAGCACTGGGCATGGCCTTGAATAAGAAGGAAAGAATGTTCTGCATGCTACCCCGTCCTGTCATCTTTCTTGAGCCACAAACATTTTTTTTCTTCCTTATTCATGAGGGTCTCTGTCCAGGGTTCATGAATCTTCCTGAACATTTCTTTTGTTTGGTTTCTGTTTGTACTAGTCTGGGGCTGCCATATCAGACCATCAGAAGGCCGCTTCCTGTTCTCTCAGCCGGAGGCTTCTTTGCATTAACATTTTAAATTAGAATGTCTGAAAAATTCTGAAAGTTATTTTAGATTCACTTAAATTGTAAAGCCATTCATGTGCTATGTAGCATTCTAAGGATTTGGGGTTTTACAAAGTTAAACTACCCAGAAATAAGTTGATACTCATAGGTTTTCTGTTAATCAATGCATATGCTTACTATTTTGTATACCGAGTGCACTTAGAAAAAGAATCTTTGCATCTGGTATTTGCAGAGGAGGTAATTGTATGCATGCTCAGTGCTTGGATTTGCTAATGAAAGATGCATGCTCATCCTGGCCAGTGTGCTCAGTGGTGAGAGTGTCAGCCTATGCACCAAAGGTCTCGGGTTCGATTCCTCGTCAAGGGGCACATTCCTGGCGAGTTTGCTCCTCCCCACCCCACCCCCGTTGGGGCGAGCGTGGGAGGCAATCAGTGGATGTGTCTCTCTCACATGCATGTTTCTCTCTCTCCCCCTCCCTCCCGCTCTTCCACTCTCTGAAAAGCAATGGGAAAAAATATCCTCAGGTGGGGATTAACAAAACAAAAAAAAGATGCATACTTGTGAGCCGAAACTCATATTCAGTTGTCATGGTTTCTCTTAAGGCAGTGGTTCTCAACCTTGGCTGCACATTAGAATCACCTGGGAATCTTTTTAAAATCCTGATTTCTGGGCCTCATCCTCTGGAAATTCTGTTGCTTTGTTACTAATGTTGTGGCCCCACCCAATAACAAAGAAACAGAATTTCTGGAGGGTGAGGCCCAGAAATCAGGATTTTAAAAAGATTCCATGGTGATTCTAATGTGCAGCCAAGGTTGAGAACCACTATCTTAAGGAATTATAGCATTTAGTTTTTTAGTCTTCTGGCTTCATTTATTTTTTGCCATTTTTTGGTTTACTGTGAATGTACTACTGAAGGGGTAGTTAAGGAAAAAGTAGCTACACTTCATCAACTTTTACCACAAATATATTTTTAACTTTTTAGTATGGACAGTTTCAGATATGCACATAAATGAAGGAGGTAGTATATTAACCCCATTGTACCCATCAACTGTCTTCAAGATTATTAACATTCTGTTGTTTTTGTTTGATCTATTCCTCCAACTTTTTTTTTCTCGTTGGAGTGTTTTAAAGGAAATTCTGCATAGTACTTTAGTTCACTCATAAATACTTCAGTATGTATCTAACAGATAAGGACTAAAACCATAAAACCATTATCATATCCAACAAAATCAACAAGTTCTTAATATCTAATACCCAGTGCATATTCAATTTTTCCCTGGTTATCTCAAAAGTGTCTTTTACATGCAGATGACTTGTTCAAATAATGATACGAACAAGGTAAGAACATTGCATTCAATGGATCTCTTAAATCTCTTTGAATCTATTGGCTTAAAAACTGTTTTCCATAATAATTTCACATTTTTTCAAATAAAAAAATATTTGTAACTCACTACAGGAAACTCATAAAACACAAAGCAAAACAATAATTACTTGCAGTCTCACCACCAAAAGTTAATCACAAAGAGCATATTGGTACATGTCCTCCCATATTTAAGAACACAAACCTCTAAGTGGGAAAGCATTTTGCATCCGGTCTTCGTCTTTTCTTTTTTTTTCCCCAGTATATTTTTATTGATTTCAGAGAGGAAGGGAGAGGGTGAGAGAGACAGAAACATCAACGATGAGAGAGAATCACTGATCAGCCGCCTCTTGCACACCCCCCACTGGGGATCAAGCCTGCAACCTGGGCATGTGCCCTTACCCGGAATCAAACCCAGGACCCTTCAATCCGCAGGCCAACCCTCTATCCACTGAGCCAAACCAGCTCGAGTTTCTTTTTTTTTTTTTTCAATTGATTTTAGAGGCAGAAAGGAAGCAGAGAAAGAGAAAGAAACATCAATTTGTTGTTCCACTTATTTATGCATTCATTGTTTGATTCTTGTATGTGCCCTGACTAGGAATCGAACCCACAACCTTGGCACAACAGGCTGACACTCGAACCAATTGAGCTCCCTGGCCAGGGCCTTGCATCCAGTCTTAAACTTTTTGCTACTTGTGGTGGGTAGAGATGGTGCAGCTTTGAGGATGAGCTGACATGCCATTGTGAGGGGATTGAGACAGGGAGGCTTGTACCTGTAGGTGACTTTTCTGCTTGTTCACTGTTTGCCTCTGCAACATTCCATTGTTAATGTCTACATGGCTCTTAACCCACCACATTCTACCAGGTGCTGTTGAAGTCCTTGGTAGAAACTTTCCATGCGATCATTTGCATGTTCACCTCTAAAGCACTTTAGTATTATTTATTATAAATTAAACGTTGCTCTCTTGTGCTCTTTATGCTGTGCATTTGGACAGAGGTCAGAACTGCAGCAGGTAAGAGCGGTTGGCGTTTCATGTAGATAAAATGAAATGCCAATGATTTTTGTCACAAGTGCCGAGTGTAGACAACTTTGCTTAACTGTAGTGATCTGGAAGGAAAACCAAAATAATATTCCCATTCACAATTTTCTGAGGATGAATTGGAATTCCCACCAAGATTAAAGAAATACTTGTAATACTTTTCTGTTCAAGGCGGAGAAGCCTCACATTCATATTTATCAGAAAGGAAAAGCAATTCACTAAGTATTCGTGCTCTGGCAGTTTTCCCAGATGGTTTATTGATTCTTTTGTTCTTTACATTTTAGCTTTAGTGCTGGAAGTGTCTTAGGTTTCTGAAGATGGATGTGTGAATTCACGCTAACGGATTATTGTAGGGACAAAGACAAAGGAACATTTTTAAAAGCAGACTCTTCTAGGGATTGTGTGAAATATTTTTCACAGTTTTTCTTTCATAGAGTGTCAGACATTGAGTAAATTAGATGTGTTCAATTAACAACTGCAGCTGTGTGTCACCTGAGACTCACGGATATTCTTGTATGTCTGGGAAGTGCAGTTGTGATTTACGTATTTTTTCCCAAAGTGTTGATTTTTGAAATACCCTTTGGGCAGCTTAAGTCTAAATCTTAATATTGTCTAAACATGTGCCTATACTATAGGATAATTAAAATGTTATATAAAAAGAAGTGTTAAAAATTAGGTTCTCCAAAGTCTTGAAATGTTTATTTCCAAAAAACTGAGCAAGTGAAGTAATAGTAGCTCAAAAGTTAACAATTAACCTGGCTTAATTTTTAACATTTCCTTTTCCCCAAGAATGGCAATTAGGTCTTGAATGCCAGCTGCTCTCTGTGTGTAAACCATCCAGTTTTAGCTGTTTTGTGATGGAAGTGGCCTTTGGAAAATCTAAATGTGTCATTAAGGCAACTCCTTACAAGTTTCATCCCCATCCCGTCTAAGGCGTCCAGCCTGTATGTGTGCACACCCGGGGATGAGAAGCAAGACTGTGGAATTCGACATGACGAGATTCCCTCTGGACTGCATGCGTTCCAGAGAGCCCGTCGGCCCACCCGTCATACATGTGCTTTAAAGTAACTGCTGTGTGAAGATTGTTGGTTAGTCTTAGTCGCCTGTCACACCACCTGCATTCAGCTTTTGATTTTAAATATGAACAGATAAAGTCAGTATCCAGTCACAAAAAGCTTAATACTGAGAGTCCACACAGCTGTAACCACTTAACCTGCACTTCTTGTCAGGCTAGATCCGATTTCTCACTCAGGTTCTCCAGCAGACAATGAACTTGTAGGGTTTCATAAGGAAAAAACTCAGATGACTTTTATTGCCTTGTCTATAACATTTAATTCTTTTGTTTTTAAGATCCAAGAAAGCATTCTTGGCCAAAATCTAGGGGAAGCTACTGCCACTTTGTACTGTACAAGGAGAACAAAGACACCATGGATGCCATTAATGTACTGTCCAAATACTTAAGGTTCGTATCTTGTTCTTGTGCCTATACAAAATCAGAACATGGACATTTATTTTCTTCTGTCCATGCTAATAAGAAAGGAGTGGGAGCCCTAGCGGTTTGGCTCGGTGAGCAGAGCATCGGCCTGCTGACTGAAGAGTCCCAGGTTCGATTCCAGCCAAAGGCACATGCCTAGGTTACAGGCTTGATCCCTAGTAGGGGGCGTGCAGGAGGCAGCCAATCAATGATTCTCTTTCATCATTGATGTTTCTAACTCTCTCTCCCTCTCCCTTCCTCTCTGAAATCAATAAAATTATATATTTAAAAAAAAAAAGGAATGGGAAAATAGGCAAGCAGATAGCAAATATGCCTCCCAATTACAATTTCCTTACACAGTAGGTGAATTAATTTTTTTTTTAATCTCCCTGCATATTGCCAATGATTCAAGATGAAAATTTTGTAAGTAACTAGTTCACATGTAGTAGAGAGTAACCAGTCTGCTCAGCTGAACATAAGGGTTAACTTTCTTCCCTGAAGCCTACACTTTGATGGGGCTGCAGAGGTTTGTTTCACTAAACTACAGAGATCGAAAGCCTGAGACGGATTTCCTCATAGGAACGCAGATACAGCAGAGATGGGCCAGGTGCTGAAGGATTTTTATTTTATTTTTTAAGAAATGGGTACAGGCACCACAGCAAATCTCTTTGCAATACAAATTTGCTTTCTAATACATATTTAACCCAGTTTAAACAAGGTGCGTAGTGTGTTAACTTGTGGCTGCCATAACAAAATACCACAGACTTAGACGAATTTTCTCAACGTTCTGGAGGCTAGAAGTTTCGGTCAAGGTGGCATAGGTTTGATTTTTTTCTCCTTGGCAGGTGGCCACCTTTCTGTGTCCTCACATGGCTTTTCCTGTGTCGTCGTGTCCCCGGAGTCTCAGTGCGTGTCCAAATTTCCTCCTCTTACTAGGACGCCAGTCAGATTGGCCTCATTTTAACTTAATCACATCTTTAAAGGTTCTGTCTTCAAATGCATTTAGAAATACCTGGAGGCAGGGCTGCATCATAGGAATTTGGGGGGAACCCCGCTCAGCCCAGGACACAGTACTCTGTCAAGTAACATTTTATTTCACTTTAGTTGCTAGCTCTCTGGGAGAGAGAGTTGTGGTGCCTTGTCTGCACCTGAGCCTGGGAGAATAAACAAGGCACCACAGGGGAGGGTAGGAAGTGTGGAGGGACTTCCTCTGAGATCTGGGCTGAGGATTGCTCAGAGTTCAAGAAATTCTTCCTGTTTTTCTCCGGTTAGTGTGGATCCGTTTGTATAACATACATCTTAGTAAACTAGCTTACCTGTAGCTTCATTGCAAAACTGTTCAGATCCCAGTTTTAGCATTTGGCTTTTTTTTTTTTTAAAATATATTTTATTGATTTTTTACAGAGAGGAAGGGAGAGGGATAGAGAGTTAGAAACATCAATCAGCTGCCTCCTGCACATCTCCTACTGGGGATGTGCCCACAACCAAGGTACATGCCCTTGACCGGAATCGAACCTGGGACCTTTCAGTCCGCAGGCCGACACTCTATCCACTGAGCCAAACCGGTTACGGCAGCATTTGGCTTTTTAATACAAAGAAATAGCATGTCTATTCAGAAAGTTCACATCATTACTAACTTTTTTTAAATTGAAGATACAAAGTTTTCAAAGTGGCACATTATACTAGTATATCTAGAATGAGTATTTCTTTACCTTCACAGCTATGCAGTGTAATGCATTACATATGATTAATAGGAAGTGCATTATTTCTTTGCTTGTTACTGGCCAGCTAAGTCTTTAAACTTATTTAGCGCCACAAACATTTTAAGTCAAGCACTGCTAGGGAGTTGTTCAGGCATCATTTACTTTCTCATGTTGCATATTATGTTTTCCTGGGTGTGTATTTAAATTGTATCTCCTTATTCTCTTAATCTATTATGATTTTAAGTATATTTTAAGTCTTAAGTTATGAAAAATATGATTTCTTACTGGTATACTACTTCAGATGGTTTTGTTTTTGTCTTTCCAGAGTCAAGCCAAACATATTCTCCTACATGGGAACCAAAGATAAAAGGGCCATTACTGTCCAAGAGATTGCTGTTCTCAAGTAAGTGGAGAGCACATATTGGGGTTCACATTGCAAAACCCTAGCACCACCTTTCAGAAGCCTCAAATTTGCTTTGTGGGGTGTCTCTCTTCAGTCTTTAGATGGTGTCTCTACCTATTCAAAAGTTGTTTTTCTGTTTCTTTTCTTGCTTGCTTATTTCCCAAAGTTTTTAGAGGACACAGGTATTATTTGTGTGATTTTAAGGGATTTTTGTGGTAGAACTATGAGGATAGTGCATCGTTCTCTCTCTCTCTTGTTCATTCATTATTAAAAACTAGAGGCTCGGTGCTCAAAATTTGTGCACTCAGGGGGTTGTCCCTCAGCCTGGCCTGCGCCCTCTCTCAGTCCGGGAGCCCTTGGGGGGTGTCCGACTGCCTAAGCCGGCAGTTAGACATCCTTAGCACTGCCGCAGAGGCGGGAGAGGCCCCCGCCACCGCCACTGTGCTCGCCAGCCATGAGCCCAGCTTCTGGCTGAGTGGCGCTCCCCCTGTGGGAGTACACTGACCACCAGGGGGCAGCTCCTGTGTTGAGCGTCTGCCCCCTGGTGGTCATTGTGTCTTAGCACCCAGTTATTCTACCATTCGGTCAATTTGCATATTAGCCTTTTATTATATAGGACTAGAGGCCCGGGGCACAAAAATTTGTGCACTG